CCCCAGCTCACCTCTCCTCCCCGATCACGCCACCCCCGCTCTAATTCTCCTCCCCTCCCAGGTTTGCGGTGCCAAAACAGCTGATTGGCGCTGGGAGGCAGGAGACGGAGCGGCGACCGCGCGCTCGGGGAGGGGAGGCGTAGGAACGCTGTAAAAAAAAATTGGGGGCACCGCTTTTTGGTGCCCCCAAATCTTGGCGCCCTAGGCAACCGGTAGCACCGGCCCTGAATGCATGCCAAGAACGTGAAGAACAAGGAAGGGGGGGGGGAAATATAGAGCTGATGGGCCTGGTCATGCCGCTTTGAAGTCAACAGCACCCCAGGCATCAGAGGAAGCAGGACTGGGCCCAGAATCCCATGAGTCATCTGTGCAATATTCGTCAGTTTCACTTTGCAGAGTTCATGCAGATTTTGTCTTTGATTCCCATCCAGGGAGACTCCACCACGCAGCGCAGCCAATGGTTGCTCCCTCCCAGGCTCACTGAGGGAAGAGGGGATGGAGGACTGGCGCCCATCTCTTCATTTGTTTTGAAATCATGTCATTTCCACTTTTTTTTTAAATGGAAGAATAAAGACGTCAAATCTTTTAGAGCAAATTTGCAAACCTGGGTACTCCCCACTGAGGCAGCTACACCCCCCGAGCCAGGGGCTGTGCATGGCACTGGGGAATCTCCGCTCGCTCTGTTGCTGCAGATGCAGCACTACAACTCATCTGGCCCATTATATGTGCATTGCAGTATGCAGACCTTGCACAATCATTTTCACAAGCATGGGCCCGTGCAAACCATTCCTAAGGGCAGCAGGAGTCACCGTGAACGGGACTGGGGGGTCAGGCGCCCTGGGTTGTTGGTGGGTGACCTTGGTGAACGCGTGTCCCCTCTGTATATGTGTGTCAGTTCTGCCTCTGGGACCCAGGGATCATGCCACGTATCTGGGAGAAGCAGAACTGCTTGCATGTTTGGGACTGAATTTTGTAATGGCTGTTGGAGAAAACCAAAGATCGTGGCTTGTCTGTGCCTCGCGGGCACAATAACAGGACAACAGGTCTCCTCGGGCCATCGCCTCCGTCCAGGAGCTGAAGTGCGGAGTGGTGTTATCAGTACATTCAGCCCCATGAATGGCTCCTGGAGGAGGTGTTAACAAAGCCCATGATAAATTGTAGGCATAAATATACATGCAAATGAACACACATGCGTGGCATACAGATACCAGCCCCTGTGCGAGTGCCCGCTCCTATCCCAGCTGCTCTGTATCAAGGACCTCAGGAAACTCTATCCTTCCCCCCCGCCCACCATCACGGACTTGCTCTGCCAGCGTTCCCACGAGAGATGTTGGTTTCTTGGCTCCCCTGGTGGATTAAAACAG